GAGTATGTAGACGGTGAGCACGTGTGCGGCAAATACCGGTTGGTTCCCCACGGAGGTTTTGCCCATGAGTAGATAACCTTGCAAGCAAGGTAATATTCACTTTGCAATGCCAGAACGAACGTTCATATACATATGTTGCATTGAGCTGACGTCAAGACGATTGAAATCGGTATAGCTTACTATAAGTCATTCTAAAATTGTACGTGACTTTTACTCTATGAACGACAGTTATTTGTGGTATTGACTAGAAACTGACGAATATGTAGCAAATAACAACGATAGTCATGATCTCTGTCCCGTAGATTGTGATTTTGCGGAGCAGAAAATAGGCTAAGATGGCAGAATTGCGACGAGAACAGGCGTGGGTTCGAATAAGTCTCCATGCATAATGAGAGGCAACACAGGTGCCGGATATTCGGAGGCGCTGGTTGGCCCAACAGAGCGTACTTTCGGAACATCAGCAAAGTTCAACAATTCTATGATTGAATATATCGATTCCATGACCAGATTGAGGTCGTTTCCAAACCCATCCTCAAACAATGCCCTCACTCATACAGCAGCATCTATGGTAGTGGACATAATAATCGCCTTGCACCACCGTACACGTACCCCCTTCGATGCGGAGCCGATTTAAATGAACCAGCATCGACTAATATATCTTGAAATTGACCAATAGTGGCGATCAACGCGCTTGGTATAAGATTAGGGGGACAATTCAGTGCGTTGTTAACCCCCGAGTGCGACGATGGGGCACTCTTCTTGTCGGTGTGTATAAGTTGACTCACTAGTGAAGCTGTGTTATGTGCCTTGTAAATGGCATGTTGTTTGCAGTGAACTGATCTTTCAGCGCTTAGAGCATAGCGTTCAATTGACTTACAAAAGACCCCACTCAAATACATTCCAGAAGTCCGAAATGTGAACATGATAAGTCGAAGACTCATGAAGACGGGATGCCAGAACTTGGAAAATTATTAATACATGGGCATAAATACAATGACGATAGATCACACGAAAAGTTTATAGATAGTAAACTACATCTAGAATATAGAACAAAAAACATACATGTGCACGCCGACAACCATAAAACCAAAGCTTCTAAACGGTCATAGATAGTCTTAACTACTCGCGAAAACCTCAACGCCAATTTGTTCCAGCTCCCGCACTCGCCCTTGGAGTATACGAGGGTCCATCCGCTCGACTGTCGTTCGCGACTCTTTTCCCACGTCAATATCATTGAAGAAAACCCGACGAATGGGTGTCACATTCCCCTTCCGCACCTTCAAGAATCGCGATAGCGCAGTCCATGCCGGTCCCTTGGCGCTTTGTTCACTAACACGAAGAGTATGTAGAGAAGGAAGCAAGACGGCGTCTGGGATCTCAGGAAACGATTCAGAAACGACGGGTGTATCGGGATAGGACGAGTCGCTACCGTACGAAGCTAGGCGCTTCTGTTCGCTGTGAAGCATCCTAAGCACTCCTTTCGCTGCGTGCGGGCCAAGAGTCAGCGCTTTAACACCTCGCGCACGCGCCAGTGCGTTAGACAACGAGGATAGAAGGGAAGCACCAAGCGTCAGGTCAAGCTCAAGGTCCGCAACATACGGTAATACGTTATGAGCTAGAGCAGTGAGCATCGGGTGGACTAATGAGATGGAAGATGGCGCTGTTACTACACGACCGCCATCGTCCACACCGATCAGATTCGATTGGGATGTACCCCTGTCGGCCACGCCGATGGAATGTAAGTTCACATAGAGCGAAAAGTCTGGTCCATTATATTCTGATTCCGTGGATGATGCGTTACACGTCGTGGACAGAAGCAGATGCACGTCGCCTTCGGTTGCACGAAGGCTAAGAGATAGCCCAGGAATAGAAGTCGCGGGCGGAGGTGTAACGCCAGCATGAGGATAATCTTCATCAACGACCTTGGAAAATAGATCGGCCATTTTCTCCACACTCGCGAAGTCACGGCTGTCCACATCCGCGCAGAGCAATGTCCATTTCATCGATCGTCCTCGCGGTGTACGAACCGGGAGTGGCAGATTCGTCGCGAAGACAGCGACATCCTCCAGCGCCGCATCGAGCGTCAACACCCTCAGCTTCGGAAGTGCGTTCTTATCGACAAAATCTTGTTCCATAGACCTGGAGTCAACGTCCGCCTCCTCACTGCTACTCCTCTCATCGCGAAAATCCCGTCTAACATCACCGTCCTCTTCTGCACTTTCTCGCGTCTCGTGTCCATCCTCCAAACTCGTTTTGAGATTTTCGCGGAGAGTGACGTCCACTTTCCGCAACACTGCACCCTCGAGAATGAGTTCTTCAAGTGAAGGCATCAAAGTGAGATAGCGGAGCCACTCATGCACGGTAGGAGCTGTCCGCAATGGCAGGTCCGCAACTTGCAACGCCTGAAGGTGACGGAGCGTATGCAGCGTGCTAATGATTGATGACGGCGGGCTCACAGCAGGTGGATATTCCGATATGAGATGCGGCAGAGGAATTGATGAGGAGGATGATAGGAGTTCGGAGAACGGGAGGTTACATTCAGCGATGGCTAGCCTTCGGAGTCGAGGCGCGTTAGCGATCACCCCGAGAGGAACGCACGCTTCCATTACGTCGAAAGGATCGTCTTCATCCACCATAAATCCATCGAAAGGAGGAGTGACCGAAGGCCGCTTTGGACGCGATTTGACAATTCGCAAGCTCTCCAACACCGGAAGGGTGGCACCGGGTGCGGCGAGGTTCTCCAAAAGAATATCTCTGAAATAGGGAGCCGGGACAGCAAAACCTAGAGTCGTAGCCCTCTGAAGGACTTCCTTCTGCAAAACATTGTGGAGTCTCGCCTTCTTTGCTCTATCCTCTCTTCTTCTCCTCTCCCGCGCAGTCGTACGGTCTCCAGCTTCCCACTCGATCCTCCCACGGCCGCTCCCACTCCTGCTTCGCGCGTGCGCAGTATAGCCAACATCGTCCACAGTCGCTTTCGACCACTGCCAAACGATTTGCAGGCCCATACCAGCCGATCTCCGTAGGAGCTCTGCATTCCATTCTGAAGAAGCGGATTCAAAATCAACTAATAGCGCCCATAATCGCGCACTCCCTAACGCAACTTGTCGTAGGGCGCTCGTAAGATGGGCATATGTCAAAACGGTGCGGGTGACTGAAACAGATTTTGATAAAGCTGTTGTCCGTTCCGTATTCGCAGCGAGATATGCGCCAGTGAGAAAGAGATGTTCGAGGATGTCAAAATTGAGGCGCAAAATTGGCTGGAGGGAGTTATGAATTCGACGGGCGGCGCCATTTGACGTCTTTAAAGGGAAACCAAAGGTCAATCCGGAGTCCTGAGCGGGGTAGATGGGTAACGAGAATGATGGAGGGACCGTGGGTATAAGGATCGACGATAGACTTGATCCGCTGCTACGCGGTGCAGACTCAATGGCGCAGAGAGATTCGAAGGTCATCCCGAAGTTTCGAATCCTCCTCAAAGTGGATAAACGTTGTGTATAGACTGGAGAAGGTGGTGGAGAAAGGTGGTGCGGCGTAAAGGATGAAAAAATGAACAATGCGAACGTGAGCGGAATAGGTTGCGGTCGATGAGCAAGGCGATATGAAGGAGGAAAAAGAGGAAAGACGGATCCGCTGACACCGCCTGTTTATAACCCGCGCAGAAAGGAGAGCTGGGAATGAAACGGGGGCGATACACGATCGAGGTATTGCAAACTGAACTAGGTAGTAGATATAGTCAGCTCATGTATCTGTACATAGCTAAATGTAGAACATACCTCACGCAATTCGGTGTCGATCCGTTCGCTTTCTTGATAGCATTGATGAGATAACTCGCATGCATGAGCATATTCCGAACGTCGCGTGTTCTTTAACGAATTGGAACGCATGGAGTGAGGAGTGCCCGGACACTTTATTCTCACAAAGCTGCGTATGATTCAGCGTCTGGGCGATGAACAACAGCCTACGAGTAGAAAGCTGCACAAAATAGAGTAGCCGTTCTCCTGCGAAGAAGCGCCGGGCATGCCTTTTCAGTCTGCGTCGACTCCACCCCGTAAACGCTGACATCGACGCTGAACGCGCTTAAGCTAAGTGCGACCAGGCCAGACGCACTATGGCGGACCCAGAGTAACTTTGCCAGGGCTCAATCACATGCGTGCCATTCGGTGGCACACTCTCACAGAGCGATGCTATGATGCATACTCGCCGAGTCTTTCTAAGAATACGTCGTGACGCGTGAAAGTCTGAGAATATGATGAGTTCCTACATGAAATGTGAGCATGGAAACGAAGCTTAAAGAGGCTCGAGCGACGACCGACGATGCCAAGTTGAAACGCACCTTTTACACTTCCTGAACACTACGTTTTAACAGTATATCACAGATCGTTCCATCTTGGTTTAGATACGGTTTGATAACTCGGAAGATGTAGAAAACTAGTAAAGATTAGAGAAGAGTTTCATGGAGTGCCTTTAGGAAAGACACAGGATTTCTGCCACATGGACGAAGGAAGACGGAAACGGCGTCGGTAGGAGCTCCTTGGTCATCAGACGGCTTTGCACAACATGAACACACAACTTCCGAGTTCCTTCGCAGTGCTCGCACTCAGCACTGTGACTCCGAGTCTCCGACACCGTTATAAATAAGCGTGTTCAGCGCCAGCGTCCAGACTCCAGATTCTTACCGAAGCGGGCATAGGAAGACGTCGGCCGACTCCAGCGGTCGCGCGTCCATAACCCATACATTGGAATCTGGCTGAGGGCTCAGTGGCTCAAGTCAACCATAAATAAAGCCCATTTTTCCTCCGTGCCCGATTCAATATGTCAAAGGCCAATTTAAAATGGAAAACCGATTTCGCGTCTCAAAAAAAAAAAAAAGCTTTCCCCTAACCGGCTTAACATCAAAACTATTAAAAAAGAGATGTTCATATTCCTCCTAGCCGACTTGAACGACTGAGCTCGTCATTACTAGTGACGCGCTCTACCACTGAGCTAAGGAGGAGATGTCTCCAATTTCACAAATTCAAATGCCGCGGCACATCCTCTTGATTCTTGTGATGGGTTCAAGATACACCTCGAGCTCCCCCGTTTCACGAGTTCAAATAAATATAAATGCAAAGGTTATATATTGAGGTATCTGCAACTCATTTTTCAGAGGTTTAAATTGAGTTCTAGGTGGTGTGGCATTTTTTTTCCCTTGAGCATGTATATTGTGTGTCCAAGACACATTTTCGGGATGCGCAACGCGCGAGGAAAAAATTTGACTATCCTAGGCCATAAAATACACTTTTTATAAGTAAATTCAAACGCCTTAAGCTCTGCAAAGTTGCTTGCAAATTTCTATGATCTTTCCTTTCTTCTTCCTCCTCCTTCCTTTTTCGATTTCTTTTTCTTAGGTAAGAACACCCAGCCTACCCAGGGGAAAACCAGCTCCCTTGTTTACCACTACTAATGGTACTTCCTCATGGTTCGTGTTGCCAAATTGTTTCTCAAACATCCTTATCATGATTCCGGCTTTTTTTGAAGTTCGATGTTACTAATAACAAAATAGACGCCCATGAAAAGTTAAAACACGTGAATGGCGAGTCGTTGGCATTGCCCACATCGTGCACTGTATAAAACCTATCCAAAAAATCTGCATTAGCTAGTTATTCGATACAAAAGCGATCGTCTCTACGTGTAACCTCCGGAAACTGGAGCCAACAACGATCGCCCCTTTAAGAATTTAAACGCAACGTGTGAACCAGCTCGCTTAGCCTCATGTCAGAAGAAGGATCACGATGCCACCTGGCAGGCGATCTCGTAGGCGAACTTTCTCCTCGCCATCATGGGCAATTCTTCGAGCAAGACTCCTGTTGTTCCACCTGCTCCTCCAGTCCCTCTGAGCACCGTCGCAGAAGCCTACGAATTCGATTCAGATAGCGATGAGAGCGTGCCTGAACTCGAGTTCGCGGATCCCACCTTGTGCGTTGTGAGTTGCCCTCTGCATGTCGTTTATCACTTACGCATGACTCTTCTAACGTAGGTGTGCCTCACGAAAGCGACTTCCGATCCCAAGTATGTGACGTGTGGAATCGAGTGCAGGGAGAAACTATGCAGGGAAGGCCCTCCAAACCATCAAATGTGTAATGTGCGCTCATAGATTTTTCTGTTTTACATCTTACTTCACATGTTCGTCGCAGTACTGTCATCGAAAGCCTAAGAGGCCCAGCTCGAATCAATGCAGCGGCTTGTGCGAAGAGAACGCTAAGACAGCTTGCTTGTTATGCAAGAGTCAGCCTAAGTTCAGGCGAACGTATCTCTGCGGTAAACCCTGTCAAAAGATTATAGCCAGATGGTCTCCATATCTTATTCTCGAAGCTCCTCGGGGCCACGTCACCTATAATATGGGTGCGTAATCTCTTCATCAAATGGAAACTTGGAGGATCTTATGGACTATAGTTGAGCAAAGATTTATTGAAAACTGGAAATATTCCGGGACTGCGTCGCGACCTCCAATCAGAAAGATTTATAAGATCATAATGGCGAAGGCATTCTTTGAGCAATATCAAGAATACATGTGTGTGATTCATTGAAAAACTTTTTTTAAATTTTATTTTATATCGTTGTAGGAAACGAGTTGGAAATGAACAGCATGCATACCATGGAACAACTAAGGCGCCACAGTGCACTCTTGGAACCCTCCAAAATGCGCAGCTGTGCTCCAACAACCTATGCTCGCTCTGCTCAATATTGAGAACGTCTTTCAAAGCTAGCTACGCCAAATCTTACACCGCGTAAGCCCTTCGATCCGTTTGTATGGTCTGCGACACTCATCGCATTGAAAGCTTTGGTGCTGGAATATACACGTCAACCGCGTCGAACAAGTAAGTCAACCTTTACACCACCTGGTTGAGAACGTACCACCATCGAATCGGCAGAGCCTATAACTACACGGAGTCGGGTAGGGGAGCTATGATAGTATCGACCGTCGCCCTTGGGAAAGTCTTCAACGTCAGTGCATTTGCGGAAGTGAAATCATGTCCTGTCGGATTTAATTCTGTGAGATCTCAATTTCAATCTTACTCTTTACAGTTTCTGATAAAAAAAAAGTAGATCGTGTTTGATCGCGGTATCAATGGATCATTGAACGAGACTGTCGTTTACGACGACGACGCGATTCGTCCAGTATATCTGATATTTTTCTGATGCTCTCTGCAGTATTATGCTGAGTCTTGCACACCCATGTTTGTTCTGACTTGCGTATACGAATAGACATCTTCCTCATTTGACAGGGGCGCGACGCATGTCCTTTACGTGCGCGCCTGAAACAAGCCTGAAGATAAGTTATGTAGGTAACCTCAAAAATTCTCTGCAGTGGAATCAAATCTTCGTTATACTTAGACGCTGGCGCGTAAATCTCTATTGTTAGAATACTGTTTCTTTGATCACTGAACTTGTTTCCTGTCGTTCCGCCAGTCCAGTCTAAATAACATGAACAGCTTTCATTATTTGGACCAACCACAATGATACTAGATTCGCGGACGTCCACCTTCCTACTTCGCGCCTTCGTGCCCTCATTGGTTTCTCCTCGCGAGTGTTCCAGGGCATCACATGTGGTTAAGCGCCTCTAAAACGCTCATCAGGACCACGGTTGAACCCGGTGCCGCCATCAAGACGTGATCCGGTTAACTCCGCCCACTTCGAGGCTGACGATATATTATTCAAATTCAAAATGTTTCACGAAACCAGCACCTGTGCGAGTCTCTGGAAGTATGCCTTCCGACTTGAACACATTAATTGACCCGCACATTAATTTTCCTGGTCAGTGCCTTGCCTTGGTGCACCATACATGCCTTATCATCAACGATGATAAGGTTGCCTTTCAGGCTCTGTCAAGATTTCGCTCAACAACGGTTCAAAGCATCCAATGCTTATTTTTTTTTTTCGACTTCGTGGATCTTTCGCATCTAGTAAGTCGTTTCTGACTCTCGAAAGCCTCTGCTCGTCTCACAAATAGTTCTTTTTAGTCAGAAGCCTGGTATATCCTGGCTCTGGGAGCCGAGACAATCTTCTTATCGCCATGTGAATTATGGAGATAGTTCCTGGCGTTATGTCAATATACCCCAAGGATGATTGCCGCATTCATTTCCTACACAACACTAATGGGAAAATCTGTTGGATACATAAATACAGTGTTGGGATCCTTTTGAGTGCTCGCTCGCTGCCTATCTCTTGCCACTACCCCGCACCTTTCTCCGTGGACCTTCGTGCTTCTTGGAAGGCCCACCATGAGCTTTATCACCAAAGTCAACGACAAAGTGCGTAAAGAGTTGGAATACGCCCGATCAAACTAATCGTTCCGTCTTAGGTAGCGAAAACTGCTTTCGGAAAATGGTTCAAATTGGAAGGATCAGGTGCGAAGAGGGAGCGCAAAGGGGCACGGTTTTTCGTACGTCTGCTATACTACCCTCGACTCCATGATCGCTTGTTGATTGTTTTCATGGCACGCGATAGACTGAAATCCGTGCAGGGTTGACAACCTGGGTACGCAAACACACTATTTCGACTTGAAGAACGCTTACCTCATGCAACTCGGATTACCAGGCTGCCATGGCATACATTGTACGTCCATTTCCGTTCTTCATGTTTTATGCATCCCAACAATTGCCAGATCTCGGTCAATGCATCCATCCTGTCCGACTCCGGAGGGACCTGTGTCTGCCCGACCGCCGACCTTTGCGTTGCTGACGAGGCGTATCAGCTCTGTGTGAGCGAGGTTCGCCAGGATCTCATCACGTCGACAGCTGCTATTTCGGCACTTTCATCGTTCCTCATGGGCCTTTTGGCGAATATTCCTGTCGGTTTGGCGCCAGGATTGGGTCTTAACGCATACGTGAGTCTTTGGGTCGTCCTAGTCACTCTCATGGAGCCCTTACGACCGTTAAACATCTCCTCGGTCTCCTATTTTCCCGATAGTTCACCTATTCGGTTGTCGGATTCCATGGAAGTGGCATTATCAGCTATCGTGAAGCCCTTGCTGCTGTATTCTTGGAAGGGTGAGTGCTTTGCGGCGCTGGTCCTTGTGGAGCTCTGACAGCTCCTCTGATTTTGAATTGCAAAGTTGGCTATTCCTGATCCTATCTATTTTGGGTCTTCGGCAGTGGCTTGTGCGCATCATGCCACAATCCCTGGTCCTTGCAGTCGGCGCTGGAATCGGTCTCTTCATTGCGTGCGTCATGCTTCTCATTGTCGTCCTTATCGGACTGCTGAAGAACCACATCACTCAGATTTATCGGCCTTTGTACGTCTATCTGATTCTTGTTTCGTATTGCACTCACCGCCATCTTAGCAACCAACGGACTGAGTGTTATCGGTGGAGACACAGTCAACCTTGTTGGGCTTGGAGGATGCAAGCCTGAAAGTGCGTCTACTGCCGTGTTTTATACGCTCGCTACTGACCATGCGTAATAATCTATCTCAGACTTTATGGATGGCCTCTCCGGGTACTGCGCTCGTGGTGTCCTGCGGAGCCCGACGATGTGGTTGGGTATCTTTACGGGCGGGTGAGCGTCCTCCGCTATAGCAGTGCCAACAGTTTTTCTCAAGGTTTGCCCAGATTCATTACGGTGATCCTGATGATGTACCGCATCCGTGGAGCTATCCTCATTGGTATCCTGTTAACCTCCATTATCTCATGGCCCCGTACGACTCCCGTCACCTACTTCCCTCACACCGCAACTGGAGATGCGTTGTTCGACTATTTCAAAAAGGTGGTTACGTTCCACAAGCTAAAGAAAATCGGAAATGCTATTGACGTGAGCCTCAACCATTAACGTCTACAAATTTACAAATCTAACGATATGCTACGTGCAGTATCACTACGGGTGCGCGAGGTGTTAGCTGAACTACCTTCGGATACTGACATTTCGAGCAGAAACGGAAAGGTTTGGTACGCTCTGATCACTTTCCTCTATGTCGATATTCTGGGTATGTTTCCACCTTTATCATGCTTCTCAAGAA